AAATCGTATTGGTTACGGAATTATTAATGTTTTAAGTTTATTGCTGGGATTTATGGATAACTTCACACCAGTAAGAAATAATTACTGCTCGAAGAGGATTTTATGACATTGCACGATTTCCGTGTGTGATTGGTGCAATCGATTGTACCCATGTACGTATTCAACCCCAGGTATGTCAATATTAAGGTTTGATTTTTATTGTATGTAAACAACATCAACATTATTAACATTTTAGGTGGAGAAATTGCAGAAAATTTTAGAAACCGAAATGGCTATTTTTCCATTAAAGTGCAAACTGTGTCGGATGTCAATATGCGCATTTTAGATATTGTAGCTAGGTGGTCAGGGTCAATGCATGACCAAAGAATTTTTAACAACAGTACACTTAAATTGGCAAGAAATATCTTCGACCGATAGACACAAGTCAGAAGTATTGGATTAATCGGGTAACCGTTCAATTAAAAATTAATAAAACCGCCTTTTTTGAAATAGCTTCTACAGGGTGGTCCGTTACTAATGGGACACAGAGCAACAGTGAATTCGTTACATTAAATTATTACGATTTAACCCAATTTATCTTAGTCTAATTGTTAATAATAACGAAGATATAGATGGTTAAAGATAATACTTCATTTTCGTTTTTCAGCAACAGTTAAAACAATGGATATAGCAGAAACGTTAAATTCTACTGTCCTGGGATATAAACTTTAAAACAGATACACAGTACCTAAGCAACTCGTTTCTCATAGCGAATGATAAAAATAATATTAAAAATAAAAAGGAATCACATGGTATAGACAACGGTTTCGGTTAGAGAGGAAGAAAAAAAATTTAAATTAAACGTTTAGTTGTATTGGTACTTGTATTTTTTGATTTTCGCGACTTTTACAAAATGTATTTGTTTTGTGAAAATACTTAGTACGCATGCGTACAGTAAGTTGTTTTTAAAAAAGGATTTTTGTCAATCATATTTTTATAATTTTGTTATTAACTAAAAGAAATTTAACTGTAATTATATAAAGCTTGTCCTTGTAGCTAACAAAATGCTCTGAAGAAGGTTATAAACATTAACCAAAATGTACATGGAAATGTACATTTGTACAAATGTATGTGTTGAATAAGCTATTTCAAAAAAGGTCGTTTTATTAATTTTCAACTGACCGGTTACTCGATTAATCCAATACTTCTCGTTAGTACACTTAAACACCGTTTGGAAATCTTCTTATTTGTATTGCTGTGGGAATTATTTGTTGGTACCGAGGGACCAACCACGGCAGAAAGCGGAAAGACTCTATGATGAGTCCCAAAGTAGAACTAGAAACGTTGTTGAAGGCCAATATGGCACATGCAAAACAAGGTTTCAAGTGCAGCGGCTGGAATTAAGAATTTCAATTGAAATGTATACAATTTCTTTATATTAAAATAGTCAGTCATGTACAGGGTGTCCCAGACCACCCGTACCAGCCAATTTATTCGGAAACGGTGAGTCCTAGAGAGTTGAAATAAAAAATTCGTCAACTAAAGCAGACACCCTCCTTCTAGATAGTGTGTTACGACCGACCAACAACATCCGGAAGTGGGTGCAAGTAGTACTTTAATATTTTATATGTAAAGAGGGGTCAATTACGATATCATCGTAAAGAACTCTTCAATAGAAATCTCTTTCGCTTGAAAAAAATTTTTATATTGCTAATCGTTTTCGAAATAATAAACCCTAATTGTTGGTACTTTTTACCGGTGTTATTTAAGTTGACAAATAGATGTCGCTATTCGTCGTTTTGAAAAATCGTGTAATTTAGAAATGGCTGGTTAATAACAAGAAATTGTTTTTACTAACAAAATGAATAAAATAACAAGGAGTTTTTTTTACCACAGAAGAATATTACAAAACACTAAATAATAAAACTTAATAAATTAAAGTAAAAATACCAGTTCTTATTAAACAAATGAATAAAATAACTATGGAAAGGAATTATTTGGACGACAAAACGACACAAAACGCTCAATCTAATAAAAAATTAACAAAATCAAGATAATAAAGATTATAAATGTTCAAATTGTCTACCATTTTGAGCAACACATTTTTCAAGCCGGAGCCTTACACTATCTACCGCATTTAAAATTTCTCTTGCACTTAAATTCTGACACGCTTCTTGAATTCTGTTCTTCATTTCTTCCTTTGTTGTTGGTCGATGTTTATAAACTAAATTCTTAAGTCGACCCCAAAGATAGAAATCAAGAGGGGTCAAATCGGGTGATCGTGCTGGCCACGCCACACAACCTCCTCTTCCAATCCATCGCCCAGGGAATTTTTGGTCACAAATCGCACGAGATACCGCAGCATAATGTGCTGGGCAGCCATCTTGTTGTAGCCACAATCTCCTCCTTATTGCTAGTGGAATGTCACCCAACAAATCATGCTGCAATGTGCCAGCAAGAAATTCCGCATACCTGCGACCATTGAGAGTGCCATCAAAATAAAAGGGCCCAATTATGGTGTCGCCCAAAATCCCGCACCACACATTTAGAGACCACAGATTTTGATTGTTCATTTCAACCATCCAATGGGGGTTAACTTCTGACCAGTAGTGGGCATTGTGCAGGTTTAACTGCCCATTACTTTTAAATGTCGCTTCATCTGTCCAAAGGATATTCCGATGAAAAAATTGAGTTTGGCCTAATAACCAATTACAAAATTGTAATCGGTTATTAAAATCTTGATCTCTTAATTCTTGGCAAAGATTTACATGATAAGCGTAAAATTTATTTTCTTTTAATATCCGTTGGACTGAGCTCTTGGTGATATCGAATTCCCTTGCCATATCACGGACGGATAAATGAGGGTATAACTCAACACCGGCTATTACCTCCGCTGTTCGATTGTCTTGCACGGTTCTTTTTATTCTGTGTCTGATGTTGTGATTAGGACGAACTACCCCAAATCGCTTAACTCTACAAGCAAGACGACTGAAGACATGACGACTTTGCTGTGGTCGGTAAGGAAAGCGCTCGGCATACAATCTTTCGGCAGCCCGAAAATTTTGTCTGCATTCCCCCAATAACATCAACATGTCATACGCTTCTTCATTGTTGAAAGGCATGTTGATGTTTAAATAAAATTCTAATTAGTTGTTCAAGATAAATACGAAGAATTGATAACTGCTAGTTTCACAAAGTTGACGTTCTGTCAATAACAATTAAATAATTTTATTTTTTTTTTATAATTTTTAATTTATTAAGTTTTATTATTTAGTGTTTTGTAATATTCTTCTGTGGTAAAAAAAACTCCTTGTTATTTTATTCATTTTGTTAGTAAAAACAATTTCTTGTTATTAACCAGCCATTTCTAAATTACACGATTTTTCAAAACGACGAATAGCGACATCTATTTGTCAACTTAAATAACACCGGTAAAAAGTACCAACAATTAGGGTTTATTATTTCGAAAACGATTAGCAATATAAAAATTTTTTTCAAGCAAAAGAGATTTCTATTGAAGAGTTCTTTACGATGATATCGTAATTGACCCCTCTTTACATATAAAATATTAAAGTACTACTCAATTGCACCCACTTCCGGTTGTTGTTGGTCGGTCGTAACACACTATCTAGAAGGAGGGTGTCTGCTTTAGTTGACGAATTTTTTATTTCAACTCTCTAGGACTCACCGTTTCCGAATAAATCGGCTGGTACGGGTGGTCTGGGACATCCTGTATATTACTGTCTCATTATTTATAGCCTACTAGCCTACTAGTACACAATTGAAAATATTAAAAGTTTCCATGTTGTATATTTCAAAAACTTAAACGAGATATCAAGTCTGCTATATTTTTGAAAAGGAAATTTTATGCTCTCGTCGAATTTGCAAAAATATATAGGGTGTTCCATTTAAAAAAATCATTTTTATGACAATAACTGCTAAAATATTGCTTTAAGGTATTCTATTGAATTCTACATAAAAAGTTGCTTTGGAAATGTTTTCACAGAAAGGAAGATTTATCAATAAGAAAAAAGTTATGAAGACTTTTCGAAAATGCTACCAATTTATTTTTTTTTACTTTATTACTTTTACAAATTTTGTTTAGAAAACTTAAAATTTTATTTTTTGAGATTGGTTTTTTTGAACGAGTTCCATTATTTAGTGGATGAATACAAAAAAAAAACCGGTGAATAAACTCTAAGAGTGAACTAGTTTCCTTCGGATATTCAAGATTAAAGACATGAAACATACAAAAAGTTAAAATAAATGCCTCCGTTAAGTCGACTTCTTGTAAAATTAGTTAATTTTCGAGGTGTACGCCAAAATATTGATTTTCGTCATTTCCTAAAACATTAATAAACTTAATTAATTTATTAACTTTCTAATTTTTGATTTTGGTACCTTTGTTGTAGGGGTAATAGACCTTTTATGTGGCCTATTTAAATAGTTATTTCTATCAATTAATTTTGAAACTAATCCATGGCCCCCTGTGCCTATACTCACATTACTTCTATCAGTATGTTTAAATATAAATGGATATTTTGCGATTACTTTAGTCGCTATTATTTTTAAAAACACCTATGGAAATATGCGTCGCCAAGATTCTCATTTCGTCCACAATTGCTTCAACGACGTGCTTCTCAGCGATATTATCTTTTTCGTCGTTTTCTAATTTCTGTTACATAAGTCGACATTGTATCCCACGGAATATCTAACGCATTCCATGTTTCCTAACTAACTTGATTTCGAGTGGCTTGTGAGGCAGGCCACAATGTAGTAATAGCACAATTAGCGGTATTGTTAATGTATTTTGTATTCAAACCTTTCTGTGGATCGTTATAATTGTTATTATCTAACGAAACCGTAAGTATATTGTCCATATTTAACGTCGATTGGGATAAAGGGCTGAGTACAAGTGGAGTACTGTCCTCAAGAAAAGTACCAGAAAGTTCATCGTTATTGAATCCACTACCACGACTTATTGTGGTTGGTAGCGAATCTGTTTCATTATTTGGATTCTTCTATTTGTCACCTTTCTCAAGTAGGATAAAAATTTCGTCCTTTAAGAGCAATAGTATTTCATCATCGTCCACCCGACTTCCATCTTTTTCTAAAACCAACGTATCTCCATTAATTTCAAGCTTCATGAATGCTGAAAACAATTTAAACTTACTATTTGCAACTTTGAATTGTGGAATTGTGGAGATCTGTCAAATAGCTATTGAAGACTTACAGATATGAAGGTGAAAATACCGGCCTTTAATCACTTATAAAACCTAAATTGCTAGAACTTAATACACCAACTAATGAATCATATTTTAATACATTCAATTAAACAACATGTATAACATAGAAAACGTATATTCAATAATACACAGAAATTTGTATACATGACATAGTTCCTATTTATACAAGACCTATGTCATAGGTAAAAATAAATAATTTATATCAAAAACGAACTATAAAATATAAAAAAATAAAATACCCTAGTATTCAAATATAAAAAAATAAAGGTACCTTCTTTGTTATTGAAATAAAAACTTAACGTAAAAAATATGAATTAAAACAACACTAATCCCTGCTGTTTAACACGTTGAGTGTCATATGAGATCGCGTTGGTCTCATGTTGTATTGGAACGTAAAGGCTGCGCGAGTCCACCCTGGTCTCATATTAAACAATTTTACATTTGGCCGCGTAAGAACACGGTGGTATAACGTAATGCATTGAAATACATATGGTTTCAGAGTAGACGGCCAGAAGAAACGATTTATGTCATTGGCCTGTTATTGTGAGACCAATATGTCACCACGTGGCATAGGGAACTGTTATATGTAAATAATGCAATAAAGTTAGAAGAAAACAAATAGAAATAGAAAAATAAATAGATCAACTAGGCTATCTATCTAGTGTATCTATTTATTTTACCTTTTATAATAATACAAAAAAATATATAATTCTTAATAAAACATAAATATCATTCTAAAACATAGATACAATTCATAAGAAAACATAAATATCATTCTAAAACATGGATATAATTCTTAAAAAAAACAGAAAATATAGTGTGTATACTAAATTTTAGAAGCTGTATGTGCTTCAAAAAACAGTTCAAACAAAAATATTGATCGCAAGCACTACATTTCAACGTGGTTTGAGCTTTCCTTGATGGTTGTTCTCTTCCAGATTCGTTTGAACTTTTCTTGTAGCATATTACACACCGACGTCTTTTAGAACGACCAACATCTTCTAATTTATGCTCTATTTCGGTCATGTTTTCAGATGTTTCTTCCTGTCTCGCTGTTTTCAACAGACCGTTTATGACTTCTTCTTTGAACGCAGTTATTGATATTTTATTATTGGTTATTTCTTTATACGCAATGTAGGCATTTACTATTGCACTTCCAGTTAATAACTCGAACGACAATTTTCTATACCATTTCATACTACGGCGAAGGCAGGTATTATAAGATTTTAACTGATCAGATATATCAATATATGATTTATATTTATTGTATTCAACCACATTTTTGGGCTTTTGTATTTCTTTACCTCTTTTGATTAAAGTAACCATTTCATTTCCATATCTAGTGCTCAATGCTAATACGTCCCTTTTATCTCTCCATTTTTCAATTACTATTCCTTGCTTACATTCTTCAGCTATTACTTCTCCAACTTTCAACTTTTTATCTACAACCCTTTTGGGGTTATATTTTCTATTAGATCGTAATGTTCCAATAAGATGTGTTTTTCTATATAATAGTGCATTAGCCAAACTCACTGATGTGTAATAGTTGTCAGTGCATAAAATACGTCCGCTGTCTAAAATATTTGTCATCAAATCCATTACAACTTTTGTAAGCACTGACACATGACCATCCTTCGATTTGCCGCAGTATACTTGGAAATCGTATGTGTACCCATCTTTTAGGCACAGCTTAAATAATTTGATTCCGAACTTGTGTCGCTTATTGGATATATATTGACGAAATTTCAGTCTTCCTCTAAAAGGTACAAGACTCTCATCTATACAAACGTACTCGGAGGGTGTCATTTGGCACTGAAATGATGTCCGAAGCTTGTTCACAAGTGGTGTTATCTTGTGTAATTTATCATCACTAATTTCCTCATTATTACTAAAATGTATCATTTTTAGAAGTAATTGAAAACGATTTCTGGACATTACACTTGGGATTGCATTTTTGTACAATCGTTTCGTTGACCAGTATGAAGAAAGTGCTGGGAAAGAACACAATCCCATCCACAAAATAATACCAATGAAATGTTCTATTTCTGTAGGGTCTGTGGGAGTCCATTTCAGAATACGTGCGTTTGGTAGAATATTACTTCGTTTACACTGTTCAGCGTATCTGTTTGTTTCTTCTACCTAAAATATATATTATTATTATGTTATTTTATTAAAAGATTTTTTGACTCACGATCAAGCTTATGATGTCGTCATTTACAAAAACTTTGAAAAAATCATATGGCAGTTTGTCGTATTGTTCATACAGAGCAATATTAAAACCAGAGTTTGGGACACAAAACTGTAGGTTTTTTAAATTTTTCCCAGTTGCATGAGCCCACTCAAACTCATTACTCTGGTTATTTGCTTCTTTTCCAATATCATTATTATTTTCTTCATCACCCAAGTCGTCATAACGCATGTTTCTTATAACTTCTTCTATTATTTCATCCATGTAATTGGGGCTTTCTATAATTTCTTGTAAGGTAAACGGTTCTGGTTTTTGCAAAGATGGCGTACAATTATTTTTTTGAGCCGTTTAGATTTAGACTGATAATCGTCCTCGGATTCAGAACTTTCTGTAACCGGTTCGTATATTTCGTCGCCATCAAAAATATTTGCCTCACTTTCTTCATCAGAAAGCAACTCTTTCCATAACTTCTTCAAACGTGCTTGTTCTTTTTCGTATGACATATTCACATTCACAATTACACTCACAACGTCCAAACAAAGACTGCGAAAAGTAATACTCGATCGTCGTAAACACGTGTATGAGTGATTTTACAAGTTCAGACAGGAATTGCGTGATGACACATTGGACTCACATGGCTACTCGAGATGTGCGCGTCTATTGTAGGCCGCGCGAGACCAACGTGTCACCATAAAATAAAAGTTAAAATATTAACAAAAAAATAATAATAATAATTTATGTTAATTCCTGAATCTGTAGAGCAATAATTATAAGGTTCTAAAATAAAAAACTATTGGCCAGTGGGCCTCCATTTGTCGAATATATGGTGGCATTCAACGTGTTAAGTTGTAGCTTAAAAATACCACTTCAGCTATTTTGTTCGTCGTTAAACGCTCACGTTTTTCGCTTACAATTTGCCTTGGAGAAAATTCTTTCACAAGGAACGGATGTTGCCATAACGCACATTCGTTTCTTCATTATTTGAAATAAATTTGGATAAATGTGCTTTCGCTGATGCCACCACACTAATGGATCTTGTATCACACCGTAAATATCTTTTCTAGGTAATAAGGGTTCCTCTAGATATTTATCCATTTCTTTTTTAACAATGTCTCCACAGGACACAAGCTGTGGAGTTAGATGATTTTGGACTTCTAAATCCAAATCTTTCCATAGTATATCTAAACAACTTTTATTAGATTCAGGTAAGGTTGATGTGTGATTATAAGGAGCCGTGTTTTCAATATAATTCATCGTTGAATTTGTGGTTGTATTTTCAGAACATATTTTTTCAATAGCGTCACTGTAGCTTGTTTGCGTAATAAAGCCAAACTTTTTAAATCTTGGGTCGATCTGTTATGTAATTCTAATTTTAATTTTTCTGCCATTTGGTTTACTTCAGGAATTAAATCAGCCGTATTAAAGGAATTTATATGTTTCAATAGCTCTTTATAATATAATATTATGCATGAAGCATTAACCTTTTTTTCTGTGTTAACAGCGGCAGTCACAACATTAAACATTTCTAAAATGTTTACCGTCTGTTCAGCAATAAGCCATTCTTCATTACTTAATAAGTCTATATTATTAATATCAACATCTCGTCCAGATTTTATGACAGCTAAAGCGGATACTAGTGCAGTTCTCACAGTAATTATACGTTGCATCATTTCATATCGAGGCTTCAAGTCAGAAGGGCGTATCAACCAATACTTGAATTTACAGGAAACAAAAAAAAAACACTTCAAAATTATAATTTTTTGCAGTTCTTCACAAAAACTAGGGAATATACAATTAGAAAGCTTATTATTAAGACAAGTTAATTAAAATTTTGACATCATGGATATTTTTCTACTAATTGAGCATACTCCTTTCTGTCTTGATATAATGTTTCACAAACGCTGTAAAAGAAAAAGACGTAAGTTGAATAAGAATATTTATTAACTTTGTTTATAGTAGTTTCACTAACAAAGAAATTAAAGAGATCATTTACAGTAACATAAGAAAAAACAAAATAGAATAATTCTAAGTTGGTAGGTGCAAAATTTATTATTTAGAAATTTCTTTTTGTTTTACGACGCAGTAGTTTTTCTTTGAGTGCCTGCAGGGAAATTTCATCATCAGAGTCACTTTGCTCAACAGTGCTCCTTTCTACTGGGAGAGACTCGTAAAAGTGGTGATACTGCTGGGGTATTACAGCATCCTTCTGTTTGCACATTTCTTGAAGGTTCACAAACTTTTTCATATTTAAAGGTATACGAGAACTATACAGAGGATTAACATTGCTGTTACAAATTTTTCTTGCTATTTTTCCTTTTCGTGTAATATTTGCACTTTGAAATTCATCCCAATATTCATTTTTGTATTGAAAGTAGTTGCTTCTTCCTTTTTCAAATCTCAGCCATTTAACTACCTTCCAGTTGACATTTCCACCTGCCTCACTCCTGTTAAAGTTTTCCATTAGTTTATTCTTCAATTCTTTATAATTTAAAAACTCTTCGTTTGTTTCTATTCGCCAGACGTACGACATTAACCCAGTCATTGGGGCAGTAGATTTTAGTATACTCTGAAGCACGTTCTATAGTTGCATGCATGGAATCACACTCCATGTGAGTGTGCCCTGGTTCTAAAAATTTCAAATCGATGATTTGGAGGCTGGTGTGTTTTACAGCTTCTAGGAGCATGTATGCCACTACGGAATTCCGATTCTGTCCAGGGCAACAGTCAGAATGAAGAACTAAATGACGTGTTTCTTTTGGAAGAGACTGTATAAATTTCGAGTGGCTACTTTATTGGCTCCTCTATTTCCCTCGTATTCGGGCCAAACAAAGCAATGACCTTGCTGTTTTGCTGTTTCGTATATCGTGAAGTTAAATGTTACTAACTTCCGTTCATAAAAAAATGGTTTAGCAAATAATAGTGGTGAGTACAAGACAGCTTCAAGATCAAACTTGGCAGAAATATAGCTAGGGTCTTCTTTTGCCTTTAAAGCATCGCTTTTCTTTTCTTCCAATGCAGCTATTTTTCTACGAACATGAAGCTGATACTCGATTAATTTCTCAGCAGGTCGTTCATTTGCAGGTATTTGTTCGAAATGATGACACCAACATTGATCTTTTTAGGAATGTGAAATCCTATATTTTTTTTATCAGTAGTAGTTCTCTATACGATGTTGCAGAAATAGGTTTTTGGTTCATTTCTGTACATTTCTTTTTGTAGAGAGAATACATTTTTTCTTTATTTAAAATTGATTCTAGATAATCTTTTTTAGTATCTCTCCTACACCAATGTGCTGGCACACGGGGGAAAGAATCGATGTGATTCTCTGCGAATTTAATTGTTTCTTCTGTATGCTTAACCCCTGGACGGTGCTTACCACGATTATCAGGAGAAGGAATATCAGCAACATTGCGACTTGCTTTTTCTAAAGCTGTTCTCATCATCTTTTCGGAAATATCCAACGTTTGTAAAAAAAAAGTTCTTGCAGACCTGAGTTTTTTTCCTTCAAATTTAAGGAAGACATAACAGAAAAATGCCTTCTTGAATTCTCTGTACGACTTCTGACAGATTTTTGACGGATCACATTACTTGCAATGAAATCGCGCTGCCTATTTAAATCGCCAAGTTGTCAGAAAGCAGAGCAAATTTGTGATTTACCTTCATCGGGAATCGCAACATAGTACATAGTTGATTATTTATTTACTGCTTATTATCAAAATCTACTGGCACTTGACTCTTAACTATAAGCACACTAAACTGTTACGAATTCACATGTGTTTATGACAGAAAGTGAGATTAGGATGATGATAAACACGAATACGCCTCTCTGACCCGGTAAGATCTAGAAACTAATGAGAGGCGTATGTACTTACGCCTCTCTGACTAGAATAATTAATAGATATTTGGTTTATACGCCTAGCTGATTTTTGCACATGCGTACAAAGTGGTCACTCAAATCATACGCCTCACTGTCCTGACGTGAGAATGATAATAACCCGTTTATATGTCCAGTTACTCAAATTTGCACAAAATGGTTGATACACCCCTCTGACTTGAAGCCCTCGATATGTTGAATTCCAACGAGTCGGTACATCATTTTTTAATTTTAAAGCTGGAAGCTCCATTCTTTCTTGCGTTTCCCTTAGTTGGCTATACGCATGAGTGCTTTTCTTGAAATATCTTACAATTTTTGTTAATTTATCCACTATTACGCGTACTTCTTTTAAGCCAGATTGCACGACAAGATTTAAAGAATGCGCGTAACAACCCCAATGCTTCCAACCCCCAATTCGTATTGCCAATTTCATATTTGATGCATTATCTGAAATGATTGCAGTAATCTTCTCACTTATCTCCCATTCATTCAATATAATTTTTAATTTATTAGCGATATTCTCTCCGGTGTGCTTATCCGCAAATGACACGCATCCCAACAAATCTGATGCTAAATATGTGCGTTTCTCCTCTTTAACGACGTAATGTGCGGTAACGCTATAAAAACTATCTTGATTCCTGGATGACCAACCGTCTACTGTTAGACAAATTGCAGTCGCCCTCTTTAACCTTCCTTGCACTATATCAACTATTTCTTGATACAAGTTGGGAATTAGCGACTGCGAAACCGTTTTTCTAGTTGGTAATTTATAATTTGAATTTAACATATAAATTAATTTTTTAAATTCATCGACCTCTACAATCGAAAATGGATGCTATAAGCTGACGATTAATTTCCTTTTGTTTTTTCATTGTTAGGGATCTGAATAAATAATTGGTAATTTGTCCTGATGTACCTGATGATCCTGGCTGTACATTTGTAAGTTCTTTTTGTGTAATGGATGTTAATCTTGGTTGATTTTCGGTTGATGCTATGAGATCTTCCTGCAGTCGTATTGGTGAGTCCTGTAGAGTGATTTGCACCAATGGATGTTTTTTTGACGTGTGTCGAATTAACGAACATGTTGATTTATTTTTCACCAACATCTGTTGGCCGCACTTTAAGCATTTCACTTTATTGTCTTTCATTTCGCTAAAATGCTGCCATATTTGGCTTTTTTGCTTTGAAGACATGATTTTTGTAAAAAATATTTAATATGTAAATATTTAATATAAAACATTTAATTTTTCAATATATAACAAAATATGGTAACTTTAATTACTTGCTTTAGATATATTGCGATAATACTAAAGAAATGGACGCTAATTTCACTACTATATTCCGCATAAAGTCAGAGCTGCGCTCCATGTTGGCTTGCAACGCTTGCAATAACACTGTATAGCGCAATATATGCGCTGTACGGTCGTACCGGTGCCGTGCACAACGAGACACCAGACGACGCCGGCGTAGTTGAGCGGCGAGCGATAAATGTGTTGCATCAGCAACTGTGTTATGGCGCAATTTAGTTGATACATTGCGCTAACTCATTTAGGTGCGCCAGTATCAGTGTATCAGCGCAGCAAATTTTGCTGCGCTGACGCACACTATAGCAAATTTTGCAAGTGGTGATTGTGGAGAATATGATATACAGTTATACAAAATAACTGACAATGAGTACACAGTAACAAAATCCGGTCACCTTAAAATGAAAAATATTATAATACCTTTTAAGATAAGTTGTGTATAGACGTCATGTTCATCTTTAATAAGTACTATCACGCGGTTTTCTCTTCGAAAGTCCCATACTTTGAATAAATGAGACGCCATAGTTTGATCCGTCAGACAATCAGCTATAAAAATTAACTCCCATTACACAGGAAAAAATCGTGTCGTGTAAAAATTTTAGAGTAGTTGGTAAAAAGAATTAGAGTAAAAATTGTAATACCACATGATAAAAACAACTCTAATGTACACTATATTTAATATTAATATAGAGTTCATGTATTATTCACTTAATAGAGTAGTTTTTACAGTTCTCTAAAGGAGAGTTCTTATTTACTCATGTTAGTGAAGTTATGTAATATATAAAACATTCAATTTTACACAAGACGTGTAAACTGTAGTTTTCCTTCAGGTACTTCGTAGGTATCGCACTATTTTGCTCGGTATTACTCGTCGGTACCACGTGATCAACATGTGATGTGATACAGCTAAAATTTAACGGTCATCTACTGAACGAGTCGGAACTCGACAGCGTCTCGAGACCTGATTTACGCGATATAAAGAGAAAGAACGATTATTTTTATTTTAATTATGTTTGAAAAACAATCGTGTTGTGAAATTAGTGGAACTTCCGGAAGATTTTACGCACGAGTTCCTTGCGAAGATTGGTAAGTATGTACAACTATACATACAGAAAACTTATAGAAGACTCATTAGATGCAGTTTTCATGGTGACTCGGTGGAAACTTTAAAATGGATTAAGTATGGTTATATAAAAAGAATTTAATTTTTTTAAATTTAAGATGTAACAATAAATTACAAGTAAAAATAAAAACAAATATTTTATAATCTTGATTTTTATTACAAACCTAAAACCTTCCTAAAAATATTCTATACTTCCTATTAAAAATTAACACTAATAAGTGAAAGATACATACTATTTAGTGATATTTTGTCACTTAATAGAGTAAAATTAGAACGAATCTTTAATAATTTACAGTGCTAATTTTACACTGATTAGATTAGAAATGTATCTAATTAGAGTCACGACAACAGCTAATTAGATTACATATAATACACTGTTATAGAGTAACGATTATAGACTATTTAATAAACACCATCTTCTCACTATTTAGTGTGAAATTTTAATCTATTCACCTACACTATATAGTGCAAAAAAATAACTCGAAATATATTGGACCGATCTGAACCATGTTTTAGAGTTGATTTTTACTCTATATTTTTTCCTGTGTATTTATTGTAATTATAAAGTAATTGAATCGATTATTTCAGACACTTCATAAGTCCTCCAATCCTATTTATTTCGGAGAAGAAATAAAAAATGGAAAACAAAAATACAAGACATCAATATTCGCGATTGCAATGCATCGACTGCGTTTATCTCTCGACACGTTAAAGACAAACATCACACCCTTAGTACACAAATAACTGTTTTAGTACTACTACCATAAATTAATAAATTATATTATTCAAGCATCATAATTTTTTCAAAATACGGACTTGTGGGGGTTTTAAAAATGTAAATTTAAAAACATTCAAATGAGGCTGATTTGAAATAATATAGGTTAGAATTTTCTGAAATACAATGATATAGTGGTTGATCAAATTGCTGTAACTAATACAAATACAGTGATTTGAATCTGTACTTAGTTCTTCTAGTAACCCTGCGGTGTAATTATAGAAAACCTTAAACGTCGTTCTGACAAAGTTAATATCTGAAATTTTTTTATTAATAAGCACAAAGTGTATAGAACAAATTTGATACGATAGATACAATACTTGATACCTTTAGAATATTTACTACCTCTAAATTCTACACTGTAGCTTACATAATACGGCTTTTCAATGAAAGAAACATGTTTGGGGTAACTTGCTGAATTAAATATAATAGCTTCATCACATACTGCTGAACTTGAATAAGATTGGGTTTGAATACTCTGTAGAGATTGTAGGAATTGATGCCAAGAGATTTTTAAAGTTAGGGCAATGTCAAATAATTTTTTTAAAAAACCCATGCTTTCAAATTTTAGTGACCAAAAATATCGCATATAAATCTATATATCTATCTATATATAGATTTTTAATCAAACTGTATCAGGTACTTTAGATGGGAAGCATGTTGTGACAGAAAAACCAGCTAACAGTGGGTCAACTTATTTTAATTATAAAAAAGAATTCAGTGTTGTCCTGATGGCGCTAGTCGATGCTGATTTAAGATTTATTACTGTGGCAACCGCCACATTCATTAAGTGTAATATATTATAATATCGTAGTGATACGTTTAATAAAAAATAAAAAAACCATAACTACAAAAAAACAAATAAAATAAAATAAATAAACAATTCAAATTAAAACCATAAAAAACTGGCGTTCTCATTTTTTGTGTAGAACAAATTAATTCATTTACAATTAACTTGTAACTACAATTACCATCAATGTTGGGGCTTATGGTAAGAACAGCGATGGAAGAATTTTCAAAAATTCAGCACTAGGAAGAGCAATGGTGGTACATTGAATATACCTGGACCAAAAAAGTTGCCTGGAAGTGATACTTTAATGCCTCGTGTAATTGTAGGGGATAAAGCTTTTCCTATAACTACAAATCTCATGCGTCCATATCCTGGAATACAACTTCGAGATAATAGCAACAAAAAAATTTACAATTACCGACATAGCAGAGCTAGACGATGTAGCGAAAATGCCTTTGGTCTATTTTGTAAAAAAATGTAGGATATTTTTCAAAAAATTAAACGTTATTCCTGAACATCTCGACAAAATAATTATGGCAGCTACTTGCTTGCACAACTTTTTAAGAAATGATAAATGTTCTTGGCAACCTGATGAATTACAGCAAACAGAAGTGCCACAAGGTTTAGACCGTATTAGAAATATGGGAGGCAATTGTACTCGTGATGCAATAAATGTTCGAGATAAATTCTCAGAATATTTCAGTACGCCTGAAGGACTTGTTCCTTTGCAAAATGAACGGATTCAGAGAGGCCGAAGACAACTCCAATAATATATATTATATAAAAAATTATAACAATAAATAACGTTACAATGCAATATTAGGTACTTACCCGGTATTTTCATTTCACTAGCAATTTTTTCCCACACGTTTTCTTTCATTTCTTAGTTGTGATAATTTTTATCACGTAACAAATAAAGATGTGGATAACCACGGATTAAGTTTATTAAAAGTTCTTCATTCATTTTATCTAAGTAATATCAAGCAATATACACAAAACTTTTACAAATATAACTATAAAATGAATAGACAGGTTTTAGTCATCGTAAACATTTTGGTAGATACTAGAGGGGGTTGCGAAACCACGGAAAAAATTTGCTCAGTAAACAATCCAGGTGATTCCGTTCCGTTCCACACCATTCCGCGCTGTTCCGGTCCGCGTTAGTGTGCGGACGCTAACTTAGTTTTACGTTTTTTTAAAATTTCCGTTCCGTTCCATTCCATTCCGTTCCGCGATAGTGTGCCGCTTGCTTTACACTGAAGAAAGCAAAGAGTCTATTGACATAAAAATCTCAACAACACTCTGCTGCTGTTCTTGGAAGTATATCTGGCGGTACCGGATATACACAGACAGAACAATTATTGTTATGTATGGATATACCATTTATGTCAACAAAAACATTCCAAAAATATCAAGAAACGGTAAGTGACAAAATCAGGGATGAAGCATGGCAGTCTATGCAGAACGCAGGTGAAGAAGAATGTAATTTAGCCAAAGCTTCAGGAGAAGTAAACAAAGACGGAGTTCCAATGATAACGGTAATTGCGGATGGTGCCTGGAGTAAACGCTCATACAATGTCAATTACGATGCATCGGTGATTCAAGCCACCCGTATATTCAATTTTTTTTAACGGATCTAACTAAACAGTTAAAACAAAAAATTCTCGAGAAATAAAAATACGTTTATTATAATTCTTTAAGAACCATTTCATTATTAAATTGGTGACAGCTGTGTAGCCAAGTTTTCAAATAAAGTAGTCTGTACAAGTGGTCTAAATCACCCTGTACATATTAT